AATCACAACTGGCCCTGTGGCATAGCACATACAGTGGCCACCTACCACGCCAGCATCCCATATGAGCACATTTGAGGCCTGGCAGCTCCACTTCTGATCCAGCTCCCTGCTAACGCACCAGGGAGAGCAGCAGAGGATGGTCTGAGTCCTTGGGTCCCTGAGTGCACAGGTGGGAGACCCTGAAGCTCTGGGCTCCTGGCTTCAACCTGGCCCAGCCCTGGCCATTGTGGCCATCTGGGAAGTGAACCAGCAGATGAATCTACCAGTCCTTGTCCCAATTCTGCTTTTCACATCAATAAACACACAAGTTATACCACTTTCCCTTGCTCCTGCATTCAGCAAGACCCATCATTCACAAATTTCATGGACAAGATATACGAGGTTCTGTACACCCTGACTTCTAATTATAATTGCTATAATTAGCTTTCCAATGGATGTCTAGGTCCACCTGGATGTTGAAAACCTGGTCTCTGTCCATGCCATCTTCCTAGGTTCACTCAATATGACCAAGTTTCACCAGCCCATGAGCAGTCAATAGCAAATCAGAGTACCATGTTATCTAATCAGGATGCACGCACCCCACTCTAGTCCTGCAATTTGCTGTGAAGCAAGGAGCCATGAGATCTCAATCCTAGCACACACTATGAAAGGTCATGTGCCGTGACCACTTGGGCGGAGAGAACCACTGTTCACTGTGATCTGTCCTCTACCCTGTGCATGCTTCCTATCAGCTTGCCTGGGAGAGCAGCAGAGGATGGTAGATCTGAATGTAACATGCCTAATCTCATCATGGAAACGTGTATGCTGTTAACTAATGTCTACATTCACCAGTGCCTCCCCCACCCAGCAAAGAAAGAAAAACAATCTCACCCCACAGGCTTTCCGGGGCCCAAAGGGTCAGCACAGGCTAGAGCAAGTTTTGAAGGCTCTTCCTAGTGGCTGTGAGGAGAAGGCGTTGCACACAGAGCGTCTGGCTAGAATGCCGCCCTGCTCACAGGTGCACCTGGCCCTGACTCACAGGGGGTTTGGCTGAAATGCTACCTGTTCACAGGTGCACCTGTCCCTCCTCCTGCCGGAGACCGTGCCTGTAACTACAGACTGCACACAGCCCCCACCCCAAATAAACGCAAGCCAAACAGGATTTCAGTGAGAATGTCTAAGCACAGTAAGAGTGTCACAGAAATATTTTGCAGCAATCACAGATGTCTTGAGATAATCTTGAGATAATCACTTGTTAGAAATCCTTTGTTTACAACCAATAGAAAAGCAGCCATAATAAAAACATGTCATTTTGTTAACAAGAAGAAAATCTCCAACACACATACACATCCCAAGAGCCAAAGAACAAAAGCCAAAATCGACTTGACCAGAAATTGTTTGTCTTTGAACAAAAACCTTGTATGTACTTTTATAGCAAGTATTATCTCTCAACAGTGATGGAATAAGCAATGGCACAGCAGCGCTAGGGAACAGGAAACCCACCGAAGTGTATTCTCAGCAAAGAGGTCCAAGGGTGTTGGCCAAGTCCCAAGTGTAGTGTGGCTCTCAGGGGCGCCCCTACATCCTTGTGTGTGGCAGAAGGAACACTTGTCCCAGGTAGTCACCATGCACTCCTGCCAGCAGTGGCGTGCAGACCCACCCAGCAACACACACCGATGGCCCCGAGCTGTCCAGACATCCCCTGACACCCGGGATCACGCCCATTCTTTAGGTCTAAACTTCTGGAACAATTAAATGCTGCACTTACGTCTGGGAAACGACACATAAAGTGGCCTGCCTTCCTCCTTTTTCTTGGATCAAAACCGAACAAGCAAGCAGTAGCCCAGGGGAGCTGGCAGACCTGTGGTCAGCCCTGGGTTTGCGGCTGGAATGAACTGGGCGCAGGCAGCACGGGGGGTGTGCGTCACCTGTTAGGAAGTGGATCTGCAACACTCTTCCACGTTTCCTTTGAGCAACAAAGCCATCTCACCAGTAGGCCAACACTAATTGCGAATTCAGCTTTACTAACTGACCCTTCCGTAATGAGCCCTGCCCCCATGTCTGCGGCCAAGGAAACTAGATTACAGACAGGTGGCTAGAGCTTCAAATTCCCACCTGTTAATAATGACTAAGTAGAGGCGCCTGGGCTTCTTCAACGATCCAAGCCTCGCACGACTGCCCCCTGGCGCCTGGGATCCACTCTGCACACTGCTGCAGTCAGCTCTACTCACACTTGTCAGGACCAACTTTTCTGATGTCCCACCAACACCTACAACACATTGAAAACCGTTCTATTCTGAAAAGCTAAGCAATAGTGACCACACATCTGTCCCCAAGTGCCTGGCCAAGTGTCCCATGTGGGTGGCAGGTCTGAACCCGTCTGAAGAACACCATATCCTCTTGTGGTGTGCAGCAGCGGGATGGTCAGGAGCCAGAGCCAGCAAGTAAAATTCAGGTCCTCTGACATGGGACCCCTTGGCTCACCCTGCGGAAAGTTGATTTAAGATGTCATTTAGGGCCCGGCGGTGTGGCCTAGTGGCTAAAGTCGTCGCCTTGAACACCCGGGATCCCATGTGGGTGCCGGTTCTAATCCCGACAGCTCCACTTCCACTTCCCATCCAGCTCCCTGCTTGTGGCCTGGGAAAGCAGCTGAGGACGGCCCAATGCTTTGGGACCCTGCACCCGTGTGGGATACCCGGAAAGAGTTCCTGGTTCCCGGCTTCGAATTGGCGCAGCACCGGCTGTTGTGGTTACTAGGGGAGTGAATCATCAGACGAAAGATCTTCCTCTCTGTCTCTCCTCCTCTCTGTATATCTGACTTTGTAATGGGGATAAATAAATCTTCAAAAAAGATGTCATTTAACCGTTAATTAGAGGTGGTGTGGTGGTGGGATAGCAGACACCCCACAGGTGTGATTTAAATGTCAGCTGTTTCAGATGCTAGTCGTGTGCACACAAATGCAAGCCAAAACCGTACTTTCCCAGTTTTGATGAACTTGAACAGAAACATTTGGACCCAATGGGGGACAAGACCTCTGCATTTAAACACCTAGCCCCGTCCATTTGTTCTGAGTGCTATTTCCTGTGTAGTCCAAGTGCCAATGACACAATCCCATCTGTATTCTAATCTTCCCTGGAAGAATCAACATTTACCAAAAACCAAACCAACCAACCCAGAAATTAGTCACTGCTCATGTTAGTGATTTAGATTTCTGCTAAATTTTTTACACGGATCAACTCAAACTTACAATACACTGAAATTGTCATTTGTATATGAACATGTCTGTTGTTTAGCAATAAATGCAATCTAACACACTTAGCACCCTAGTGGAATATGGAAGCTTTTGTAATAGTTATCCAAAGCTATGTTCTCTAGGCACTCCATCTCTGAGAGGATTCTATCTCGAACTGCGTAAAAAGCAGTACTTCTCTGAGGTGAGCCTAATGCAGATGCACGTTTCTGATACTGAAAATTCATGACTTAATCAGGCCCCTCTCCATACACTGTCTTTTTTTACATCCAACATCACGTTTTAGAACCAACTATATTTCCCAAGCTCTAAGTGTCACAAACAAGCAATGTGTATATACTGCAATTTTATTTCAATCGCACAAACGAAGTTAGCGTGTAGGAAATTTAAATGAAACAGTTACGGTAAAAATAGCAGAGAACTGAAAAACCTAAAAAGAAAGTACGCCTAAAGCATGAGAATTCAACATTCATTAGTGTTTCATCTTCAGCTTGATTGACACTTGAGGCTCGCACATTTTTAAACACGTTTTGAAATCGGGACTACTCGGCAGAGATTTCAGCACCAGCGCTAAAGTTTGTACATTCAGTTTGTTTGCAACTGACTCGTCAGCCATTTCCATGGTGTATGGTACAGATTTGTCACAGGTCAGATCACAGTGTTGAGGAAAGCAGTGCCTCCTTGTAGTAAGGAAGGATCCCCTAAGCTGTACTCAGTTTAAGACATCCAACGCCCAGGGGCACAGAAGCCATCATCAAAATGTGGTTCCAAGAATATGGGTTTGGTAAGGAGAATAACTTAAGCCTCCATTTCCCACTTTAATTACACAACTGTCACAGGTGACAGCAAATGTATACAATAAATCTAGTTGAACTTCTTGGAAAGAATACATTTAGCAGTCCAGGAGAATGTGACATGATGGAAAACACAGCATGATTCAACACTGGTTCATCTCTGTCATTTTACACAGACATCATGTTAATATTAGACCAAGGCACAAAACGTTTAGTGCATAAACCAGTTTCTTTTTTAAGAATTACCGTTCTTTAAGTTATCTTACTTTGGACCACTTGTACCCAGTACTCTACCTATTAAAGACTACTTAACTTACCCAACAAAATCAAAAGTGATTTCTGACCAGATTTGTAAGGGACACAAATGTTCATAGCGTTAACGTGGTTGCATAACCAAAAAGTACAATACAGATGAGAATGCCTATTTCTTTTGAAAACAGTACTTCTTTAATGCCTTTACTATTATTGCGTGACAATGAATATTAGCAAAAAGAACTGTGTACCTGAACTATGACAGCTCATCCATCAGCTTAATCTGAAATGAAGTTTCTAACAGAAACCTGAACCATTTAACAAGGAACAAACTTCCCGCATTCACACTTCTTTGCAGTGGTGATGGCTACACATAGGCAGCGTTTAGGAAACCATGCCACCCACAGGCTTTGTCTGAGGAACGGATATACTAAACTTGGAGAAGATGGCAGTGGGCAACTTCTTCAAAATTTTAGTACAACATCTGATGATCAAAGATGTCTAAGCAAATATGGCACATCATCAGGATGGAGAGCCTGGGGAAGTTCTTTTTTCCTAGATTTTCCACAAAGTAGTGAGGGTAACGTATAGGAATTCTTCTCTAGTTTAGTCTCAATGCTAAAGGAGTGAAACGCACACGCACGCACACACACACACACGCACACAGAGGGTGGTAAGTACAGTATCTAACTCCTTCTTCCCACCACCTAAGTCTCCCTTTTTGACTAAGCGGAAGCTGCAGCACAAGTCTTCAGTGGTTTCCCTTTTGCTAATGATTTCTGTGACCTTAATTGCTGCCATCATTGTTATTTGTTTCTCAGCCAGGAACCCGAGTCCCTGTGTAGTAACTGCAGGGGCACCTGGCTAAGAGTAACTGCCAGATTCAGTGATGAAGCATTTGAGTTCCACAGTGAGCTCTGACTCACACGAAGTTCGGAATCATGTTTCAGACCACTGAAATTACTGGTTAAGATACAGAGAGCTGAAGACATGATGTAGTTTCAGTACTCGGTTTTGTTAACATATTTACCAATTAAAGTCACAAAATATTTCTCATTATTCATGCAGGTACTTGAGAAAGATAGTGCAGAAATTAAATAAAAAATTATTCCTTCCCTTCCTCCCACTCCCCTGTAACTCTACAAAATGTTTTCCCTGGGACTAGGCCTCGTCAAGGCCACTACGGATTAGTATGACATGCAATACTGCCTGCAATTTAAAAAAGCTAACTTTGTGGCGGTTGTAATTATATTATAAAAATGTCCACATGCATAAATCTAAAAAAGGTTGAAAACCTATAGTAAATCTACAATATATTGTCTTACATTTGACCACTGGTTTGTGTTATGTAGAAGTCATAGATTTGGTAAAGCATTGTAACAATTTAGGAAGGCATCTAAATCTTTAAATGCTGGACGAAATTTATGTTTGAACCTACAAAATTGCATGAAGGCTAACTTGAGAGACTTCCTATCATTCTAAAATTCCTCAAGCTGGACAAATCATTTTTAGGATAGTTCCTTGTAAATATCACCCTTCAGAAGCATGTACAATTGTTTGTTCCCCATTTTAAAGATGTTAACCAACATAGGGCTGATCAATTATTCATGGAATATCAAATATGATAGGAAGACAAACCTGAGAGAAACATTTGCAATACAATATAGCATATGCTAAATTCTTCATCAGTATCAGTACTCTCTGGGGAAAAAAAAAACTTCTTAAGCCTTTCTTCTCTTTATTTAGCAATGGATTGTGGAAAATGTGCGATTTTATCTTGACATGAAAATATTTCAACGCACGGTGATCTTGCCTGGCGGGTTTAGTACTATCTGCATAACTGTCACAGGGATTCTTACACAATTCTTTTCCATCCTGCAGTAAAGGTTTTTTTGTTTTTTTATAAAAAGCAGCAAACTGGAGGGAACTAGCTTGTCGCAGAGTCACAATGTCTGAAGGCTCTCGGAGTGTAGGTTTTCCCTCCTTCTGTCTCCACTTTTCTTCTTTCAGCTCACAAAATGTAGGGGTTTGTTGTTAAAGATTGTAGGAATAATTTTTCTCCCGATTCAAGTCCTCTCCTCTGGTAGTCTGTCTAGGCAGTGTTTGACTTGCTCAGTTCCTGCCTGATTGCTGGAGAAGGAAAAGATTTAACAATCAACAAGTGATTCATTCTTTAAGAAGAGTTAAGAACTACGTTCATACACACATAATTATTAAAAAAAAAAAAAAAAACTGACTTTGCAGATTTTGTTGCACAGACCTTCCTATGTTTATTTTTCTCCGTATACAAAATAAAAACAACCATGACTCCATGGGCTCAAAGATGGCAATGGATGAGTAGAGGTAACTTAAGACACCTGGCTTTCCATTTAGCAACAAACAGCACCTGACACATGAATCCCGTTTGTGGGCCTATGCGGTGGAGCAGCAAATTAGGGGATGCAGTGCTGGCATCCCATATGGACTCCTGGCTGCTCCACCTCCAATCCAGCTCCCTGCTTCTGTGCCTGGGCAGGTGATGACGTACAGCCAAACTGCTTGGGCACCGGCTTTGGCTTTGGCTGGGCTAGGCTGCTGTAGCCACCTGGGGAGCTTATGGAATATACCCTCAACTCCACTTTTCAAATAAAATAAGTCTCCTTAAAAAACTCTTTTGGTCCCTTCTCTTACAAATACTTCCCACTGCATGCAGGAGAGAGTCCCTCACTGACAGGCAAAGCTAAGTCAAGGGCAGGATACGCGGGAAAGTGCCCCTTACCACTGTTTTCTTAAAAATGGCTATTCTTGGGCCCAGCGCGGTGGCACAGTGGTTAAGGTCCTCGCCTTGCACATCCGGGATCCCATATGGGCGCCGGTTCTAATCCCGGCAGCTCCGCTTCCCTTCCAGCTCCCTGCCTGTGGCCCGGGAAAGCAGTCGAGGACGGCCCAAAGCTTTGGGACCCTGCACCCGCGTGGGAGACCCAGAAGAGGCTCCTGGCTTCGGATCGGCATAGCATCAGCCCGTTGCACTCACTTAGGGAGTGAATCATCAGACGGAAGATCTTCCTCTCTGTATATCCGCCTTTCCAATAAAAATAATAAAAATAAATCTTTAAAAAAAAAAAAGGCTATTCTTGGGTCCAGCGGCGTGGCCTAGCGGCTAAAGTCCTTGCCTTGAACTCACCAGGATCCCATATGGGCGCCGGTTCTAAACCTGGCAGCTCCACTTCCCATCCAGCTCCCAGCTTGTGGCCTGGGAAAGCAGTCAAGGACGGCCCAAAGCCTTGGGATCCTGTACCCATGTGGGATACCCGGAAGACGTTTCTGGATCTTGGCTTCGGATTGGCATAGCATTGGCCATTGCGCTCACTTGGGGAATGAATCACTGGACGGAAGATCTTCCTCTCTGTCTTTCCTCTCTGTATATCTGACTTTCCAATAAATAAATAAATCTTTTAAAAAGGCTATTCTTAAACTTCCATTGTAAAGAGGTGACAAACTGATTTAAAAACTTACCATCAATGAGTTCTTCTTTTAGCTTTGCTAATTCTTTTCTCATTTCATCTAAAATGTCCTAAAAAATTAGAGCAAAACATAAATTAAAAAAAATACTGAAGTTTTTTAACTCAGAAAATTTCAGTATGTTGCAAAATCTGATGTTTATTTGATTTCCCTGAGTCACAATTGCATTTGTTGGAATTCCTTAGCCTTGGCAAATTTTTATTTTAATAACATTCTTTTCCTCCAAATTTTGATTATACTCTAGCAAGGTATGAAACAGAAAGCCTTCTTTCTAAAACCAAAATAATTACTGTGACCCAGGGAAAGGTACGATTCTGGTAGTTTCTAGAAAATTACAGCTCTGCTCTTAATCCACTCCTCAGGTAGCAGTCTGAGGCAACACAAAAAGAAGTTCCAAGGAAGAAGATGTCATGCTGAACAGGACCACCAGCTCTTGGCAGATCTGCCATCAGGCGCCAAGTACGAGGACGTCTCAGGAACCAGCACAGAGCGTGTGTCAGTGACCCTGGCTCTCCGTGGCACAGGTGCTGCCCTGACAGCTAACAGAGAAGAAGGGGAACGGGGTCCTGCACACCCCACAGCCGAGTGCTGTTGCTGAGCATTTGGGGTTAGTGTGGACTGAGTGCAAAACATACCAGAATTCACATATTTAACATGAAAAAACTATGTAAAGGGAAGTATTAGTAAGTGTTAAATACTACTGCTCAATGAAATATCATATCAAGCTAAAATATTAAAATTATTTTTACCCACTTATATGGAATGTTTTAACTTGGCTACTGGAACACCTTCAGATATGTCTAAAGCCCACAGTCGGTGAGTGTCTCTACTGAACAGCAAGGCACTAGATTCCCCTTTAAGAACTGTAGCTGGCAGGCGCCTGCTGTAGTAGTATACTAATGCCCTGCCTTGAGTGCTGGCCTACCATATGGCTGCTGGTTTGTATAATGCTGCTCCACTTCCCATCCAGCTCCCTGCTTATGGCCTGGGAGAGCAGCAGAGGCTGGCTCAAGTCCTTGGGACTCTGCACCCATGTGGGAGACCAGGAAAACAAGCTCCAGGCTCCTGGCTTTGGATCAGCTTAACTTTGGCCATTGAGGCCATTTGGGGAATAAACCAGGGGCTGGAATATTTCTCTCTCTCTGTAAATCTGCCTCTCAAATAAAAACAAACTGGAGCCAGGGCTGGTGTTGCAGCATAGAGGGTTAAGCTAATGCCTGAGACACTGGCATCTCATATAAGCACCCATTCAAGGCCTGGGCACTTCACTACCAGTCCAGCTCCCTGCTAATGCCCCTGGGAAAGCTGCAGAGGATGGCCGGCTGATCCAAATGGAACTCCTGCAATCTGGTGTGGGCCTGACTCAGACTCAGCTACTGCAGCCATTTGGGGAGTGAACCAGTGACCTGAAGATCTGCCTCTCTCCCACTACCTTTCAAATAAACAAAATAAATCTTTAAGGAAGAAGAAGAAACAAAAAAAGAACTGTGGATCCAAACCTAAACAGAGTATGACAAAGTGACACAGTTTTAATGAGTGAAAATTAATAGCTATCTTGAGAAAGATTAGTTTGAATTAATGAATTTAGCATTTCACAAGAAAAACTTAATTGTTCTGTCCACAAAAAGCCCTTCCTGATTATACAACAAAACAAAGACCTGTTACTGACCACAAGCTTCCTTTTCAAATTATGCAACTCAATTTCACTTTTCAAATAGTTTTGCAGTATAAAAAAATCAGATTTACCTAAATAATCCAACTTTGTCTCTTTTCAGAAATAAAACACTTTAAAAAAAAAACCCTATTTTCAATTGCTGTTACTTTTTCATGAGTGCACAGGTACTAAATAGAATCCATATGTATACAAATCATGGACAGTATATTTTCCTTTTATAAAAATGACAACTATACACATCTGTTGTGTTACTTATTTCATCTAAAAACAAACAAGTGTTCCTAACTGAACTACTAAACATTCTAAACTATGATTCTTTGATGGCTGTCCCACTATACTTCCCTACTTATACTCTTCCGTAATGTTGTGCATACATTTGTTTGCATTTCCTCTTGTTCTTGCTCAAATCAGATTTGCTGGGTCCAGTTCTGCCAGCGGGTAGGGAAGTGGAAGCCCATGGTCATCTTGCAACCATCCCGCCCCTCAGCATGCATCTACACTTGATGAGCCCACACCACCAAACCCTGCCCATGCTGCACCACCACGCCTGGAATCTGATGCCCTCTGAGACAGTAAAATGGACTGAACAACAAATGCCACTGTTTCAACTTGCATATAGTATTTTAACTCTATGTTCTCTTAAAGTGCACCCAGGATCCATGTCAAGTATACAAATACAAGAAAGCAAATTAAAATGAAGAAAAGCCATTCCTGAGGGCCCACCTGCTTCAGCCTGTCGTAGTCAAGTCCTTCTGTCTGCACTCCATTGGCACTGGGCTGGGATGAGGGCGCAGATTTTGGTCTGTACAAATGAAATTTCCCGGACAGGTCAACTACACTCAATAGTAAAACATTCTTAAGTAACTGCAAATCAACTGACCCAACACCAGATTCCAATGCATTTCTTAAGCAACATACACTGTGTTAAAAACTTAATTGCCAAAACGGTCAACTGATTAGAACATAAAACAGAAAATGCTGAGCATATTCAGTTATTTATAAATAAACTACAAAAAAGAAACAAGATGGTGAGACTTCTTCAGTACAGAGTAGCAGACAGCGTTGAGCACGAGGCAGGTAACCTGGTAACCCGTGGCAGGTGGATCAAGACAGTGATGAGAAGGCCAGCTGAAACACCGGAGGCTCCTGAACACAACCTGATCTTCTCCTTTGAAACTTCACATTATCTACTAAACAGCTGACAGGTGAATGGGAGGAAAAAGACTTGACTATTCTAACATAAGTCAGTTTACAGATTTTATGCCTCATTTGCAGGAAGGAAACATTCTAGTAAGCATGGTTTTCTGTGTGAACTGTATTCCACTTGAAGCATTCAGACAAACAATAATGTTGGGAATGATTATTACAATTATATTCATCCCTAGAGAATTTTTATGGTGATATCATTTAAATGATGTGTTTTGGGAGTGATTAGTTCATAAATTTATCTTGATTAGAAAATGCCAAACAGGAAGAAGATTGTCCATTCTTATTACACTTCTCAAAAACTTAAGTCCTATTAAAATTTTATGTGACAAAATAAATCTTCGGTTAATATCGAATCAGTCATGTTCCCGCTCCAATTCTGGCAATAACAAACTCAGGGTTTGCCTGATGCTCCTATTCCTGTTTTCTGAAACAGTGTAGATCAAGAGGCCAGTATTTAAGGGGCCACAAGTGCATGCCACCAGAAACCACAGTCAAATCACCTGTTTTCAACTTCGCAGAACACCAATGTTAGAAACCAAAGTTATACCTTCAGAATTCTTACATGTAATAGTTCAAACCCATTAAGCATCATTCTTGAACATAAAATACTGAGTTAAACTGCTTTAGTAGTAAAACATACTACTGCTTAAAATATTGTTCTGAAATCAACCAATTCTACTTTATTAAGTATTTGTTTCTGTGAATCAGGTAAGATAATAAAGTTCATGAACAAGGTAAGAAAACAATGTTCATTAAAGGACTGCCTTTCTTCTGGCTTTGCTTACTAAACTCTAGTCACACTGGGATCCGTATCGGGCAGGCTGTGGTGTTCTGGAGGAGCCATGTCTAGTGCATATCCTTCAGGGCTGACACACTGCTCATTCACACAATCACGCTCCCTATTCCAGTCTCCAGACTGAAATGATTACATTACTGCCGCCCTCTCCCCGCTGTCTGTGTTTGCTACTTTCTTCTAGGTTAACACAATACACACCCTCTTGTAATTCATGTGGACACCTGTGGTTTGCTACTCAGGCAACAGACTATCCATTCATATTTATTCAACAATTAATGTCTCGGTTATATAAACACTTGTGGAGGCATGCAAGTTTTTAAAAGTTTAACTCATGCTAACATGCAATCCATCACCACCACCACCACCATGAAAATTAATTTGAAAGGGGGGAACTTTTCATACTGAAGGAATATAGTAATCACCACTTTTTGTGTAAAAGCAGCAAGATAATGGAAAAGATTCACTATAGAAAAATCTTCATTCAATATAATTTTTTTATGTGCTAACAGATCTTTAAAAATTAATCTTTTGTTGAGGACAATCAAATCACTTCAAAAACAGCAGAAAAAACAGTTTCACTACTGTAACCTAAACATTTTATGGAGACTTAATTGCCTGACAAAACAAGCCTACCAAACATTTTGATGATAACTTCAGCAAATAACCTGGCCAAAGAGTTCAACTGCAGCATCATTCCCTGCTACAGGCCACGGGCGTTTTCTGCCGTTTTGTTTTTACTTCACATTTCCAGCAGACTTGATGTGTACATTCATCGTAACATGAACAAAATCCAGTTATTTCTAACCTATGGACTTTCCCATAATTGATGGCAAAATAGGAGGCTTTCTCTGAAGAGTTTCACTACTTGATGAAGGGGAACGTTACCTCTTGACATCATGCCTATAAAATGACTGCGCTATCACATTTAAATCCAGACTTTGCCAAGTTCACTCTGCATTAGGAATTTTTGTTAATTAATGTGTAGCATAATAGGGCTTATCCTAGAAAACTGACCACCTGCTCAGGTTGCCAGATATCAGTTTGTTCAAAATACTTGATATACCTCAAAGTATCTAGATTTCAGAAATTTTTCATAAAGAATACATTATCCACAATTGTGGATACAACATAAATGATGCCCAGTAGAGGATCTTTTATTTCATTTTTTTAAAAGCCTTGACTTATAATCATAAAGAAAATGGCCTTTAAGAGAAAAACTTGCAGCTACTCACACAGCCTGAGATATTCAAAATGTACATGGAAAATGCAGATTATGAAGTGTTAAAAAAAAGCCTACTCAAATAAATTTGTCTTTTAACTCCATTTTCCATGAACTTTCTCATGTGTCCTCGCGCACGTGGCCTCAGATTCACCTTCACATTCCTGATGCTCAGTATTTATCCTGAGCTAACTACAAAGTAACACAAGCTTTTTTTTTAAGTGTCGAAAATAAATCTGAAATGAAGTATTCAATCTACCTAAATGAATCTTTTTCGTGTGGTGATTACCAATCCAGGTAGAAAAAGCTCAGCCCTGCCCTGCACATGTTACTTCAAAGTCTCCAATCACAAAGGCACAGCGGGATGATACCTGTGTAATGAATCACAGGACCTGTTGTCAAAAACAATCTGATTTTTCCTTGGAGAATCCCGTCTATGAAGGGGAAAAACCATTTAAAGGAGTATACAATAGAACTTTAAAAAATAATTCTCATCACATTACTGATTCACAGCTTTTAAGATGTATCAAACAAAGCAAGAACTGAAAACCATTAAGAGCTGTTAAAATAATCATTTTCGCAACAAACATATTTGAGACTAATTTTACCCTCGTGAGGATACTGTTGGACAGTTACAGAAAATAAAACAACATGAACACAACAGCTTCTCTATAGGTTGTACGCTTAATAAAGCTTACTGCCATAAAGATTCAATAAGTGTCAAAACACAAAACATTCTAATAGAATCAATGTTAAGTGATACTCAAAATCATGGTAGCTCTACATAGTCACAAAATCAACATTTCTCTGGAGACATGAAGAACTTTTCTCTGATCACAAATACAGGACCTGTAAAATTCATAAACTTTCCAGTGTGACAGTTTAAAGCATTTCAATGATGACATTCTTGCTTCCATTCTATCATCCCGCATCTTCCTTTACACACAGCATAAAGCACTGTCTCATGCTATAGGATATTCATATTTAATCATGGCACAAAGAGAAACAGGTCTCTGCAATACAGACCAACAATCAAGTGTACTTAAAGAAAGCCAATACAGTGCTTAGTCTTTTAAGCATATTTTAAAATTCTTTTATAATTTGAAACTTCTTTTGGTGAAACATTAAGGCACAGGTATTAGCAGTTGGATCAAAGCTTTTAAAAGTGTGTGAGAATCCAGGAAACAATCAGTGTTTCACAACTTTTATTTTGAGAGGAATCACCCAACAGAGTTGGAACATGGTAACAATGTAGTTCTGGATACTGAAAACTAAGATTTGGCTAAACCATATAAAAACACTTTCAATTTAGTGAACTTCAGAGCATGTACTAAACTGAATTAGCCTTCAAAGAACATATTTTCCTTCATGAAATAAAACCAATCAGTAAGGAATACATTCCACATGAAGAGCCTCTTGCATATCTCCCTGTAACAGCCTGAGTTTATGCTTAGCTTGGGGGTAAGCTCACTACGGAACTCCTAACAACAAAGGATGTGGAGTGGTGGCAGAAAAAATGCTGTTGTCACATCTTATATCTGCAAAGAACAAACTGCACAGCACACACCCATTCCCTGCACTATGCTTACCAAGTATATTTATACTGCAATATTAAATAAGTATATCAAAGTTCTAAACAGGGATCTGAGAAACAGCCACGTGTGAGTTAGTTCTCTACTACACTGAAAAAAAAAAACCCAGGTGCACCAAAAGCAATTCCCTCTACTTCCTTCTAATGTCAGATATGATAATCTTTCAGTGACTTAGAAGCCAAAAGTTCTGAAGTACAGCAAACTAGTTACCTTGGGGAACATGCGAAACTACATTCACTACCAAATCTTTCTTACCAACAGAAAGAGCCATACAAAAGCCAAGCCCAAATTTAGACTTAGCTAACACAGAACCAGTTTGTGAAAATAATATGGTCTCTTCTAGTTTTTTTAAAATATAATCAGTGTCTATTTTTTCTTGATGCAAAAACAAGGCAAAAATCAGAAAGAAAAAGGTAAATACTTTTAAAATCTAGATATACATCTTTTTTTCCCCCTGGGAAGAATACACTCTTTAAATTGTCTCATAAAGCAAGGAAACATTTCACCTATGTTAAAGACCTGTGGTAAAGACTTGGTTGTGACAACAGAATATGCTTAGCTAAGTAACACTGAGTCTGTTCGACTTGCCAGCATGTGTGGATACTCCCATCAACTCATTCTGCTTTGGGGCACCAGCTTCTCTGAGTTGATGAGAGGTTCCAGCTGAGACGGAACCAAACTAATTTTGTGCTTTCCAAATGATGCTTCAATTTAAAACCTAAGAAGATTTTTCCAAAACTGGATTAGAAAAAAATGTATGGAAGATGTTATTCACACAAGAAAGCAGCTACACCCTATTTGAGATAATGTAACACTTCAGTGGTTCAATTTGTTTGGAGGGGTACAGCATGTAAGGTCAAGTTCTTACAGGCAAACTGCTCATCAGCTACCCAGAGCAGGGGACTGTGGATACATAAATAGCTGAGACAATGTTCAAATGCTAACTGGGGAACCCAGAATGAGTGTGTGAGAATTTGATATATTATTTCTCTTTTTCTGTTATTATCAATTTTTCAAAAAAAATAAATTGAAAGAGATAAAAGCTATCTTCCGTTCCAGGCAATTTGGGTAATAAATGTAGGGTAAAATTATTTCTACAATAAATATGCAGTCTTAACCTCTTATTGAAATACAACATAGTACAAGATTTAGAGGGAAAAAAACCAATACCTGGAAATGACAGGTGACTTGCTGCCATTCATTGTATTTGTTCTTTCCCAAGGTTTTCTTGTTGGTTCTTTAAAAATAAGAAATAAATGTTATCTTATATTCTTCTAGAGTTATTATAAAACAACGAATTACTAAATGCCATCATACTTGCTTATGTGGTTGTAATAAAGATTTAAAATTCTAAATGTGAAGGATTCTAATTTGCGCAATACTAAACCCTAAAATAAGAAGTAAGCGTGACATTTCCTAGGAAAAACATAGACTCTTATGCCAAAAATATAATAATTCTATAAACCAGAGGGTAATAGGTTTCTTTAATACAGATGTAAAAAGAAAAAGATAATTTTTATTAACTACGATAGTTTATATTAATTAGAATGGGATATTTACCCATACCATTTTAACTGCCAATGGTCAAACAAAACAAATAATGTGTATAATGTCTATGTACTACAACTTTTTTTTTTAAAGATTTATTTTATTTTATTTGAGAGTCAGATATACTGAGAGGAGGAGAGAGAGAGAGGAAGATCTTCCTTCCAATGATTCACTCCCCAAGTGAGCGCAACGGTCGATGCTATGCCAATCCGAAGCCAGGATCCAGGAACCCCTTCCGGGTATCCCACATGGGTGCAGGGTCCCAAAGCTTTGGGCTGTTCTCCACTGCTTTCCCAGGCCACAAGCAGGGAGCTGGATGGGAAGTGGAGCTGCCGGGATTAGAACTGGCGCCCATATGGGATCCTGGTGCGTTCAAGGCGAGGACTTTAGCCGCTAGGCCACGCCGCCAGGCCCCACAACATTCATTTAAAAAAAAATTTATTCCTTTACTTGAAAGGTAGAGTGTCAGAAAGGGAGAAACACAGAGATATCTCCTGGTTTGCTCTCCAAATGGCTCAAACAGCTGGTGTGTCTCAGGATGAAGTAAGGAGCCAAGAACTCTGTCCAGTTCTCTCACAGGGTGACGGGGTCCCAAAAACTGAAAACATCATCTGCTTTCCCCAGCACTTTAGCAGGGATCTGGATGAGAAGCGGAATATCCGGGTCTCAAACCAGTGTTCTGACAGGAAAGCATTGCAAGCTGTCGCTTAACCAGCTGTGCCACAATGCCAACCTTAGCATCATCTCACCTTAATTCAAACAGGCCTCTTGGGTAAAATACTCAGATAATTCAAAATAAATTTGGGAATCATGAAATTGAATTGCACTTCCCTGACTCTTAAGATAATTCTTGGGACTCAGCAATCAGTACAAAAGATTATACTGGCCTGTGAGGTTATGATTCCACTGCACAGTCTTAACAAAGAAACTGCACCAAGTTCTGAAGTCCTTCAACTGCCTTCAGTGCATTCTCCTTTTGGTAGCCTGTGGCCTCTCAAACCATGCATATAAACAACTAAATGCAAACTCTCTCAGGATTCTGAATTTCCGTGGTGGCAAGCAGAAATGTGGGCATTAAGCCTTAAAATCTCACCAATCATTGATTCCTCCCTTTCTCACTATATTTTTTAGTCTTTAGTCTATATTCTAATAGCTAAAACATTCTCTCAGTGACCACCAGAGTCGTAACAAGTTTCAGAGCTGACCAGGGAATATCATGAGGTCCAGAAAGATGGAATCACCAGAACACCCCACTGGCAGCTGGCTGAGCAGATAGGAACAAGTCCTGAATAAACAGATAATTTGAAGGGGGCAGTTGTTACCAAAGAGGTAGGTGGAAAGGTTAGGAAGCATTTCCAAGGTGGTCAGAGTGCAGGCAGTAGAGAGATCTTCCATTAACCAGCCAAATTCTTTGTCTTTAAAAGGTACTTACTTATTTGAAAAATAGGAATAAACAGAGACACCAAGACCAAGGTCCATCTATCGGTTCACTTCCCACATGCCTGCACTGTCTGGGACTGGGCCAAAGCTGAAGCTGGGAGCTGGGAAAGCAAGCCAGGGCCCCTAGTGGTGGGTGGAACTTAGCTGAGTCATCACCACTGCCTCCCAGGGCGCACATGAGCAGGAAGCTGGAGCCAGGCAGCAGAGCCATCAGACACTCTGACATCTTAAAGGATGTCTTTCCCTCTAGGTCAAACACCTGCTCCCCCATTAATCTCAGAAGGGCTCATGCAGTTGGTTGCGAGGAGGAGTGCAGTACAGTGCAATTCACTCCCCTGGGAGCAGAGAGAACAAGGCTGTCTTCTCTGGAAGGAGCCAGATGTGTTCAGGAGGAAGTGCACACGTAGGGTTACCTTCAGAGGGTCTGGATCTTAACTTGCATCAGCTGCTGCAAGCATTTTTGAGGAGTGCAACAGCAGATGGAAGATGTCTGCCCCTACCCCCACAAATACCCCAACAAAACACATCACACCAAAAAGAAAACCGAATGAAACAAATAAAAACCAAGCCCCAAGCCCAACTGAATGAATTCTTCATTATATTACAACCACACACATGTGCTTGACTAAAGGTTTATGAAAACACTTCCCATCCAGCTCTCTGCCTGTGGCCTGGGGAAACAGTGGAGGGTGGCCCAAAGCCTTGGGACCCTGCACCTGCATGGGAGACCCAGAAGAGGCTCCTGACCCTTGGCTTTGTATTGGCTCAGTTCTGGCCACTGTGGTCACTTGGGCAGCGAACCAGTGGACACCAGATCTTTCTGTCTTGTCTCTAAATCTACTTTCCACTAAAACTAACAAATCTGAATATATACATATATAAATTAACCTGTTTAAGAGTCCACAGGTGTGTTGAGGAAACTAGTTACAAGGTAGACATGTCAATGATGACATGCTTACAGTGTCACTACTCAAAATGAGACTGAGGGACAGAGAGGGTGGGGTCTATAGTCATACACAATAATGTATTTTGTGAAAATGCAAGCCTAGAGGCAAGTGGTAGTCTCTCTAAACCAAAACACGTTGACTATACACAGACATTTCCCTAAAATGGTGCCTTAGAGACCACCTAGATACTAATTCAACATTTTTCTTTTTTGTCATATCATTCCAAAATAGATCAGAAGGGAGACAGTTTAACTCTAAAGACTTCAAATATGAAGAAGCAATATATATTTGAAACAATTTCATATTCTCAGCTTGGATATGGTACTAACCACCTCCAGTAAAATACACTTTGCTAATATTCCAAGTATATCTTCTAAGCCCAAGAGTCCTCCATATCAGACACTTTGCTGAATTCAAGAACACTTTCAAAAGCTTTATCTTTTTAAGCTTCCAAGTTAGAAGTTTTATTTTTCTGATTATCCATACAATTCAAATGAATGCTTCAGATTATATCCTTCTCAATTTGACAATGTTTTGGAACAGCCAGCACTGCTAGCTGACATGTCCACTTGTTTACCTTTAAGAATCAACTACTGGGCCCGGCACGGTAGCTTAGCGGCTAAAAGTCCTTGCTTTGCAAGCGCCGGGATCTCAATATGGGCACTAATTCTAATCCCGGCGGTCCCACTTCCCATCCAGCTCCCTGCTTGTGGCCTGGGAAAGCAGTTGAGGCCAGCCCAAGACCTTGGGATCCTGCACCCGCGTGGGAGACCCGGAAGAAACCTTTAGCTCCTGGCTTTGGATCGGCTCAGTTCTGACTGTCGCGGCCAGTGGAGGAGTAAACCAGCAGATGGAAGACCTTCCTTTCTGACTCTCCTCCTCTCTGTATATCTGACTTTCCAATAAAAAATAAATAAAACTTAAAAAAAAAAAATCAATTACTAAAAATAGTTCCCTTTCATCTAATCATGTATTTTCCTTCTTTTTGTGAACTGAAATCACCAACAATAATAGACAGAGAATACGAAAAACTATAGGTTTTAAAGAATCATATGAAAAAACTTTTTGAGACTTAGCAGCTCTCCCATTATCAGGAATAAAGCAGCAGGATTTCTGGGTTGGCGAAAGCTAATGTTTTTCAGGGCCAGCCATGAACTTGAATATCACAGAAAGCAAGCAGCCACTTGGTTCAAACACAGGAGAAAGAGGGATTCTTAAGCGGGCAGGACTAATATTTACAGAACGCTTCTAAATGTTAAGGTACGTCTCTTCAACTTACCAGGTGTGCTTGTTGAAGAGGCCTTAGAAGTTACAGGCTCTGACTCTTCCTACATATAGAGAAACATATATTAACATCACAACCTACAGTTGGACACCTTCAGTGTTGAACATTTCTACTTCCAATTCTCTTTCTGCTCATTCCTTCCCCTGTCCTTGCCCCTTCCACTTCCTCTCTGGTTTCTTCCTTCTGTCCCCTTCCCAGTATTTTCACCTTCCACCTTAACTCCTTTCCTTGACACATGTTCTCGCCAAGAACCTGTACAAGCCAAGGCTACGAAGTCCCATGTAGGAGACAGATTTGAAGAGTGCAGGGAGAGCAGTGGTGTGACTTGTGAACACTAACGTGTGTCACAAAGATGAGTGTGCTCAGCTGCAGTCAGACGGACCGGGGACGAAACTATACATATATCAGCGGCACAACTAGGAAGCAGAAGTTTACCCAAGGAAAAGGAGGGAAAACTGCCGAGGGAGTCTAATGTCTTCAGATCAAATTAAGGCAAAGAAACCCAGATTCTAAGACATCAAAAAACTCAAGTCAGGCTTAGAAACAGATTTAACTCCATAGGCTTAAGCTTTCATGCTTATCCTAACTGATAAATAAGACTCAAACACTAGAAAATTTACAAAGTTCATATTAGGTGGCCTTTGACACAATTCCCAATTTCTAGAATGAACAGTCCTAGAATGTCACATTTTAAAATGTGTTCTTTATTCACTTACACTTTTGTCCTCTTTTGGTTCTGTTTCTATTGTTGATCCCTTTTCAGCAATTCTTCTCCTAGAAAAAAAGCAAGTCAGATTTAAAAAATTATATCATACAAACTCCTCCTTCTCCAACAGGGAAGAACTGCGTCTAGGTATCTGGGATAAACTTACAAAAGTCCCCTCAATTTTGTACATTTTTATTGCAATGAAATTTCTTACCTCCTGGCCAGCAGGGCACTCATTTCTTCCATTAAACCACTACCCCCTAAGGGAAGAGGTCCATTTCCACGACCTGTATCTGTTTTGGATGCTGCCGAGTTCACACCAATGGGACTCCCTCCACTGGGGAAGGAGGAATCCTCCACCTTAATGAGAATCGCACACATAACAAATGCTGTGGTTAGATGACCATATTTTATTAATATTACATTCAAAACAGAAGCATCTTCAATGTTAACTTCAAATAACTAAACCTTAGGACCCAAAAGAGTGAACAGCCCTGACCTTACAGTATATGGACATTTTTGCTGAAGTCAGTATCACTAGTAATGGGACAAAACAGCATCACAGGTCTCCCAATGTAATATGCTGAGAAGAACAACTTAACTGTGGTGTAGTCCCACTGAAAAAAATGTATAACCTGAATCTAACCTTGAAGGAAAAACTCAAAGATTATAAAAAACAGCTATCTTCAAAAATATCACAATAGAAAAACAAAACAAACAAAAAAAACTGAAGAATTATTCAATTATAGTAAATTAAAGAGATATTACAACTATACACAACATAGGATCTTAAGACTTAGGAAAATAATGACCACAAAAGACATTGCTGCACAGTCAAATTTGAAATGTATTTGTAGACTATAATATTTCAGTTATTAAACCTTTAGATTTTTATAATTATACTGTGATTACATTGGAAAGATTTTATTCATGGAAGTAGTAACCTAGCGACCAAAGTCCTCACTTCGCACGACCAGGATCCCATATAAGCACCGGTTTGTATTCCAGCAGCTCCACTTCCCATCCAGCTCTCTGCTTGCGGCCTGGGAAAGCAGCTGAGGAGGATGTCCCAAAGCCTTGAGATCCTGCACCCACGTGGGAGACCTAGAGGAAGCTCTTGGCTCCTGATCAGCTCAGCTCTGGCCGTTGCAGCCATTTGGGGAGGAAAGCAGTGGATGGGAGATCTTTGTTTCTCTTTCTCTCTGTGAATCTGACTTTCCAATAAATAAATCTTAGAAAAAAAAAATCATGGAAAGTGTGAAGAAATCAGGCATGGTATCAAAATTTCTTTGAACTAAAACAAGGTTTTAATTCCACTTTCTACACTTGACCTTAACCAAAAGGCCGAGAAGCGATGTTCAGCTTCTACGAGCTTTTTGAATGCTCTCGTTCTAAAAAATTCACATTGACGTATTCAGGAAAACAAAACAAGCACATGATGTCTCTGATTTTCAAATCACATGGACAAAAAGTGACTGCAACAGAAGAAATAGAAGGCAAATATTGATAAAATGTTACTCAGTTATTCAAACTATTCTTTATACCACTCTTGTAATTTTTCTCTAAAAAATTATTCCCATTCTTTAAACCAAGTAAGATAACAACATAGAGTTCAATAAATGCAGTCTTTTGAGTATGTTGAAACAATACATAAAAACACAGTAATCTGTAATGTATTTACCCGTGACACTTTCCTAAGTTTCGCTCCAGCAATTGCAGCTGCAAGTCCAGTTAAAGGGCGATTGTCCTCTGATATGGATCCCGAAAAAAATCCAGATGCAGGGAGGGGAGGGGCAGGAGGAGGTGGTGGAGGAGGGGGCACTTGATTAGGAAGAGGAGGAGGGGGAGGTGGTGGTGGAGGCCCAGAGGATGGCAGTGGAGGGGGTGGTGGAGGCCCTGGGGGTGGAGGGAGTGCTGTCTGGACAGGGCCTGATGGGAGAGGGGGAGGTGGAGGAGGTGCAGGTGGTCCCAAGACAATGCCTGATAGAAAGAAATGTTAAATAAGGCCATCAATAAGAGAACCAAATTAATGATATTTTATTTGGAAAGGTAGGTAGATTTATGCTACATTACACTGACTCAAACCTTTACTACAATCTATCACATGATTAAAATCTAGATTAGTTTTAAAAAGATGAAAATATAAGACCAAATGTATAAATCTACTTAGTTTATTAAGATTTTAGTAATAACACTATGCAACAGATAATCTACAGTTTTCCTCCTTGAAGATTCAGTAAATAAAGTAAATGCTGATAAACTTTAAAAGAGAGGTTACGCAGCACTGGAAAAAAAAACCAAAAACACAAAAACCTTGGTATACTAATAATGCAGTGGTAGCTGGTATCATTTGGGAAGGCAGACACCAAATCATCAGTGTGAATCCTAAAAGCTGAGTCAATAAATCCTACTATTATTTAGACATTTGGTTATTTGAAGTACAAAGGGGCTGAAATAAAAACATAAAACAGGGGTGGTCCCAGGTTTCAGTATCTTAAAAAAAAAAAAGTACTCCTGGCATTTAGATCCAGTATCTAGCCAAGACAGATAATCAATGGAGTAAAGGAGCTTACTAGTACAAAGGAAACCTCTCAACATAACTAACTGAATAACCTAGAGTTTGAAGTACAGCTGTTCTAGCTTATAGGATGACAAAAGACATTTCCAGGGGCTAGGATAATGGCATAGCTGGTTAGGGTGAAACCTCACCTGTAAGGTTCACAGCCCATCCAGCTCCCAGTTAACATGCCTGTGAAGGTAGTGGAAGATGGCCCGGTACTCACATGGGAGACCTGGCTTCAGACTGACCCAGTCTGAGCTACTGTGGCCATCTGGGGAGTGAACCAGTAGATTGAAGATCTGACTCTCCCTTTAACTCTTTGAAATACACAAATTAAAAAAAATTAAAATAAAATAGGCTGTTAAGCATCTTAATTACTTATTAAACCAGATCCTCTCACTTGACAACCTCCTGCTTCTGTTACCATTACAGCTAGGTGTGTGTGTTGGGGGGTAAATGGGCAGGGCATATATAGAGGATGAGCTCTTTCGGTTGTGTCTTCAGACCACTTCCCGTAATCCTGGACTGTGGGAACCTTTAGGGAACATGCCAAGTTTGGCATCCTTTCTGCTTCTCCTGTAAATTTAGGATTCAACCCAGGGCTTAGTTAGGGTAGATTCATCCTGAAAACCCAAGGTAGGAAGCCACTCAACATAGCAAAGTCCCCAGTACAATAGAGTTCCACATCAGAACCATTCTGGAGGACACTTCAGAAGATCACTCCAATAACTACAGCTGGGAAATAAGTAGATGGTCTCTAAGCTCCTCCCAAAATTCAAGACAACTTGGATCAATGTGGAGCCCTCCACTCAAACTGCAAACAAATAGACCAGCAACGAATGCTAGAAAACAACTTTCATAATACTGAAGATGCTAAACACTAGCTCAGTTTGAATACTCCCTACATTAAAACTCCAAGTGCAATAATCCAACAGAATGAAAAATTCTTTCCACTTCAACTTTCTAAATAAAAACCAAAACATGGCACGCTGGCATTTCGATGTTTCACAACTGAAACACCCTACCCCTCCTTCTAAGGCACTGAAAGGCTGTTGCCATGTAACACTTCAAGTGAGGAGCTGTTAGTGGCAATAAGAAAGCCTTACCCTGTTGGGCTGGAGTCTCGGCCGGCTGAGAGGCTGTCTGCAAGCCTGGCTCAGAAGCAGAGGAGTCTCCCAGCACAGAGTTTAGAGGAGTCTCAACAGAGGCAGGGGCAGCTGCAGAGGGAGAAGGGAGAACACTAGGCTTGGATGAGGGAGTTGAGGCAATAGGGGTGCTTGGAGGAGAAGCTTGAGATCCACAGTGTGAGAGTGATGCGAGGGAAGGCAGTGGAGGCGGTGGCGGTGGCGGCGGCGGCGGTGGAGCTGCTGGCCCTGAGGTAGGCGGTGGAGACACTGGGTATGTTACAGAATCAAGCAGCCCGTTGGGAGCTGTCGGTGACGGAGGCATTTGGGGCACAGGAGAAGAGACACAAACAGGGAGGACAGGCCTTGGACCAGTAGCTTTGCCTGGGGGGCTGCTAATCATTATTGGAGGAGATGGAGGGAGGGGCGAAAAATTGGAAGTAGACCAGGCACAGGGCTTCGTAGCTGGAGGCTGAGAAGAGGGTGTGTTCACAGGAGAAGAAGGTCGAGAGTTTTTGTTCATAGGACGAGGAACTGTAGCATAATGGGGAAGAACAGGGTGGAAGGCTGAACCTAAAGATGTTGCAAAACGTGTCGCTGAGTGTCGCAGTGGTGGTGTAGGGGGTGTGGAAGTAGGTGGCAAAGCAGTCACTACAGCATAATCAGGAGTGGCCTCTGACACTGGAGCTGAGATGACTTTAGCATATGATGGAGGAGGTGCTGAAGGAGGCTGGCAACTGGAATACTCAGGAAGTGGAGCGTTATACAGGGAGCTGTCTGGAGATGGAGCTGGACAGAGGTGGAAAGCAGCAGCAAGAGACAGGATAAAAAGGGAGAGAGAAAAAGGGAGCTAGTGAAGCCACAAAACCAGCATTCAGACAAAATGCATAAATGTAGACTACAGTTAGTACCAGAGAATTAGGCACATTCTTATTAGGCACACAACTTATTTTTACCCAAGAAAATTGAACTTTAACTTGTAAATACATCTTGAGATCCAGAAGAATGAAATATGCTTTTCTAATAAGTGTATTTATAAATTAAATTAATTTGTACTCTACAAGAGAATAGTAATTGTTTTAATTATTATTTAGTCCACTAAGGGGACATTAAGATTATATAAATAGGATCATGAACAGAAACAGTAATAAATGTAATAAATAGCAAAACTGGCCAAATGTTTACTCCAAAAGGTAAGTAATCTATGCAATGCTTATTTGTGGAAAAGTTTTATTCAGTCATAACTCTAGAAAGTAACCAAGCAATAAAAAAACAAATCCATTAACTTAAACAATCAACCAACCTATCAATATTTAATCAATGTACATTGAGACATTTGATATACGTCAAAAGAAATAACACTTAAATCCTGATTAATCTTAATTTTAGTGAATGTTAAAATACCAACATTTCAGACATATCTTAATCTTAATGCTTTTCTAAAAATTCCATAAAATTTAGTAATTTCCAAAATACTGGAAAATGTAAACTGCTAATTTTTGAAGAAAGTATTTTTTGATTTGCCGTTTCAATTCCCCCTCCAAAAACTGCAGATCACAATGAGGCAAATTTCTTGCTGAATGACACTTTACTACTACATTTGCTATTTAAGATAATTTAAACAATTTCATGAGGGAAATATATTCCAAGTTCATCCAACATAAAAATTCCACATAAAAACACACTTTATCGCCCACTTGCAGGGAATTAGAAAACCAGAATGCAGAATAAAAACTTCTAAGAGTTTTCTTTAACTCTCTAAGCAATAAAGGCAATACAGAGAGAAATAAAAAGAAACGCTACAGCAGTCAGTGCTGCACACGTTTCCCAACTTGGAACATACGGTTTAATGTCCAAGTACTATCTCAAGTGTGGAATATTCTACACTGCCACCCGCACCCAGGAGAGCGAGGCACTCCTTACCAGCACTGGAGACTCTGCGCTCACGCTCCCGCTCCCACTCCAGCTGCTCCTGCCGCTCCAGCTGCTCCTGCCGCTCCCGCTCCAGGCGCTCCAGCCTCTCCCGCTCTAGCCGCTCCTGCCGTTCCCGTTCTTGTCTCTCTCTCTCCAGTTGCTCTTGCTCCAGTCGCTCTCGCTCTAGCCTTTCTCTTTCTAACCTCTCTCTCTCCAACCTTTCCCGCTCCATTCTTTCTCTCTCCAGCCTTTCCCGTTCCAGCTCCTTCTGTCTTTGCTGCTCCTGTAGTTGCCTGGAATTAAGTAAGAAACCACATCAATGGCTGCCCATCATTAAAAAGCCTTTCTTCTCACAATAAGTCTCAGTGAACTTCATTTCTGATTCAAGCGAAAGCAGCATAGAACATGCAATCAACTTCTCTCCTGCCCCACGAGGGAAGGCTACCTCACACAGAGATGACTTAGCTTTGCACAAAGGAAAATAATTTCTCTAATTAGCATCATGCTGGATGAATGCTTCAGCACATTATGCCAAGCAGTGCCTAGTTTCACTTGTACTTTTTATGAATAAAATGTGACATAAGTGACTTTCAAATGACACAACACTTGAATAACCAAGTTATTAACCATTTAATGAAAAAACCCAACAAAGTGTTCCCTAATTCCTAAAATGTACCATTGATTTTAATCATATAAGTAATATGCTATAATTTCAGAACATATAGTTTTGGGCTACAGCAATGGCTCAAGAAACAAAATGCTAAATGAAAAGACACAAGTAAGAAAAATAAACTTTTAAGTAAAAACTTTACTTTGCTGTGAAGGACTTATGAAAAAATAATGCATGGATTTCCACACACACAGTTTCAATCAATCTTCTTTGGACTCCAGATATACATAAACCTAGACTATATATGGGAACCATTTTTCTGCCAAGGGTCATTGGAATGGACATTATTCATGGGCCACACACAATTATTAGCTTAAAAATTTGCCTTCTGTAGACTTGCTGAATTTCAAATTCCCACCTATGGTTGCCTTACATGGCCTTGAGGCTGGAGACTTCCCCACACCTGTTCCAGATCTTTCCTCATGTTAAAAAACACACATAAACTTTAACAGACAAATAGAATGGAGTCATATTCCTTTACTACTCAAATCTCGCTTTTTCTTCCCCTTAATGTGCTGTGACAGTTTCCTAAGGCACACTGGGATCTTTATTTCCATGAGCGGGTAAATCCACCTTGATGAGCTGCCCGCAGTTTACATAATCTCCTATGGGAGAACTTGAATTACTCTAATATTACTATAAACACAGCAGCATACATGTATCTTAATCTCTGAGTTCTCTCTCAACCAGGTTTTTTTTTAAAGATTTATTTTTATTATTTTTTTATTGGAAAGGCGGATATATAGAGAGGAGAGACAGAGAGGAAGATCTTCCGTCCGATGATTCACTCCCCAAGTGAGCGTAACGGCCAATGCTATGCCGATCCGAAGCCAGGAGCCTCTTCCGGGTCTCCCACGCGGGTGCAGGGTCCCAAAGCTTTGGGCCGTCCTTGACTGCTTTCCCGGGCCACAGGCAGGGAGCTGGAAGGGAAGCGGGGCTGCTGGGATAGAACCTGCGCCCATATGGGATCCCGGGTGTGCAAGGCAAGGACCTTAACCACTGAGCCACCGTGCTGGGCCCGTCCAGTTCTTTTTTTTTTTTTTTTTTAAGGCATTTCAAAAGATACAATTTGAAATTTCCAATGACTAATTATCAGCACAGCTCTCACCTGCTGGTTATGTCCCAGGTGTTTTTAGATGAGTCTATGTATTATGTCACTGAATCTTCCACACAATGCTATGAAATATGTGTAGAAAGAATGCTGAAAAGGATGGTCAGTATGAACATACAGACTTGCAAAGCAGAAAGACTGAGATGCCACAAGATTTTTTTTTAATCTACTTAACTGAAAGTCAGTTTTACAGAGAAAGAGGAAAAGACAAAAAGTGATCTTCTACCTGCTGGTTCACTTCCCAGATGGCTCCAGCAGCCACTGCTGGGCCAGGCAGAAGCTTCATCTAGGTTTCCCATACTGGTGGCAGGGATAGTTCTGTATTATCTTGGCAAGAATGTATCAATTAACTCTACCTTTCTAACAATGGTCTCTTCCTTTCACATCTGTATTCAGTATAGCACTGTGGTGACAATTAGGCAAGATAATCCTTTCCCATCTCTTAAGTCCTCCTGACAAGTAAGTCAATCCTTCTCCCTGCTCAGAAACACACTGCCCTCCTCCGGAAACAGCAGAAGCAGCCAGAATCACTTCGCCCAGCAGCCATTACAGACACAGACCATAACTAACAAGACCAGATCTTCAGGATGCAGTCCTGAAACACTAACTGTCCATGTTCTTGAATGATAATGTGATGACGGCACAGATGGTGGCAAGAAATCTGATATATTTAGAAGAAGGTTAATAGTAAATTAGAGAAAAGTCACCTCTAAACCTTCCTCCCCCTTCTAATATCCTGCATCAAATGAATAAACTCAGCCGTGGCCAATATTAAATTTTAAATATACAACATGTGTCAAAAACTAATGGTTATGGGCCCAGCGCAATGGCTCAATGGTTAAGGTCCTCGCCTTGCACACCCGGGATCCCATATGGGCACCGGTTCTAATCCTGGCGGCCCCACTTCCCTTCCAGCTCCCTGCCTGTGGCCCGGGAAAGCAGTCGAGGATGGCCCAAAGCTTTGGGACCCTGCACCTGTGTGGGAGACCTGGAAGAGGTTCCTGGCTTTGGATCGGCATAGCATTGGCCGTTGCGCTCAGAGAGTGAATCATCGGACAGATGATCTTCCTCTCTGTCTCTCCTCTCTGTATATCCGCCTTTCCAACAAAAAAATAAAATAAATCTTTAAAAAAAAACCTAATGGTTATGTTTAACACAACTCTGTACGCAGTACGTTGAGCCCAAAGGGCAAATGATACATCCCTACAACTCTAATTAGAATATATCTGAATACAGAAGCTGAGGGAAAGAAAGGAATTAAAGCACCCAGCTACACCAAGAAAATCAATGAAAACATCCAAGTTTTTAAGTCTTTTCACATTTGGATGTCACCTTTTTATTGGTATCAAATACAAGTACATATTTCAAAAACCTGCAAGAGAAACCAGCTCATTGCTGCAACTATACATCCCTATTTCCTACTTTCAAGCTGTTTCTTCTGTTTTAACTTTTTTTTTCTTATTCTAATAATCAAGCAACGTTTTAACTTAGATAACTACTCTGTGAGAGACGGCTCACAATTCCGTCACCACAAACAAGCTCTTCCCAATACGGTCATGAGAGAAAAGTGATTTCTGCTGGGATCAACATTCAGGGTTTTCATTATTACAAGGATAACACACATACTGCTCACAGATGAGCCACACAGCATTCTATGCTACATTAATTTTTTATTATTCTTGTTCTTAGTTTTCCTACCCCCAAGTCAAAAGCAACACAAAACCTTTAACAACAATCAACAACACAAAGTTAAACTCAGAGACAGGAGGAACAAGTAAGGGGTGAGATGACACCGGAATAATCACTGAATGGTGTTGACAGCAGGGTGTAGTGACCTAGGAAGGTTAAGTTTTCTAGGGTTTTTCGTCTATAAAAGATAGGGCCCACTGATACATGAAAAAGAACACACCAGACAATATTTTCAAGTTCATTCATATGATAGCTTAAAGAGGCAGTTTATTCGTTGGCAAGATTTTTGGTTACAAAGGAAAGTGTTGAGCATCTTGGGTTGATTTTTAGCCTATTCACTGAAATCATGCCCATCGAAACATTATCTCACAAAAAAGCATATCAAGAAAACCTCTAGCTTACAAATCATCAGCCACAGAAACGATTCCCCTAATACGGACGTTTTTTAAAGCAGACTTTCATGTTTTCGTGTCTAAAACAAGACATTTGTGCATCTTCTAGGGAAATTCCTAAACACACATACTTCACATTTCTCAGAATTATCACTGCAAATCTGCCTAGTGGAAAAACATGTGGCTCCTCCTGCTGAAAAGGGTTTTGTCTACAATGGACTGTCTTCTTCGGTCACAAACAGAAACTGAATATTTTTCTGAACTACCAGTGTTATAGTTTTCAACCATGGAAAACTTTTGACAGACTATTGTAACATTTTTAGTTAGGATATGCAATCTACAATAAATTGAATGTTTCTGAAAGTGATAAAGACTTCTTTTAGAAGCAATTATACTACAAATCAGTGCTATCAAAGTCACTAAAGCAGGCATTTCTATCACCAAAACACATTTCTTTTTTTTTTTTTTAAAGATTTTATTTTTATTACAAGGTCAGACATACAGAGGGGAGGAGAGACAAAGAGGAAGATAGATCTTCCGTCTGATGACTTACTCCCCAAGTGACTGCAACGGCCGGTGCTGTGCCAAACTGGAGCCAGGGGCCAGGAATCTCCCCCAGGTCTCCCACATGGGTGCAGGATCCCAAAGCACTGGGCCATCCTCAACCGACTTCCCAGGCCACAAGCAGGGAGCTGGATGGGAAGTGGAGCTGCCGGGATCAGACCAGCGCCCATATGGGATCCCGGCACTCTCAAGGTGAGGACTCCAGGCGCTAGGCCACCATGCCAGGCCCCAAAACACTTATTTCTCTCTCTCAAACATACATAAATATGGGCCTGACACAGTAGCCCAGCAGTTAAAGTCTTTGCCTTGCAAGAGCCAGGATCCCATATGGGTGCCGGTTCTAATCCTGGCAGCACCGCTTTCCATTCCCTGCTTGTGGCCTGGGAAGGCAGTCGGGCACGGCCCGAAGCTGTGGGACCCTGCACCTGTGTGGGAGACCCGGAAGAGGCTCCATTGGCTCCTGGCTTTAGATTGGCTCAGTTCCAGCTGTTGTGGCCACTTGGGGAATGAATCATCGGACAGAAGATCTTTCTGTTTCTCTTCCTCTCTGTATATCTAACATATATATATGAATATATATTCATATATATTTATTCAAATATATATATAATTCAAAGACTTATGAAGCAAGTAAAACACAAATAACAAAATTTCAAAATATCTTTCATCTGGCCTTGCAATGCTAGGTAAATAAAAATTATACTCTTGATATAGTTGAAGGAAGAGAGGAAACTAAGAAATTATTCTGAGTTGATAACAGTAACATTGCTATTACAGACATCTGTCAGAAAATAAAATTACCCAGATATTAACATGGATTGTAAATTGAAAGGATTTCAAGAAAATAACAAGTGAAAAATGCATGCT